AGTTTGCTGTGAGGCAAGGCAGGTTTTCTCAGATTCATTTACAAAATGTTGAACTCGGGGGCTGCCGCACACGACGCGGTACACACGGGGTACACGTAAAAGGCACGGGCTGCAGGGCGTTCACTCGAACGCCATGCACATGGGTCATGGCGCGGAGCAGCATCGGGTACGGGTTGGTGTCGAACCCTCAGGAGCGCGAGCGGGTCCTCCTCCCAATCCCGGCGCCTCAGATTCAATGCCTTATCTTTCCGCTGTCTTCGAGTTCGATTTTTAGCAATACCAAACAACTCGAACACTCATACGTCATTTGGGGCCTGGAGCCCTGTTCACGCGCGCGCGAGACGTGCAGACAGGGTTGCCAGGTGAGAGCGAATGGCGCGGTTCACGCCTCGCACAACAAAGAGAGAGATGCGCTCTGCATGGTGGGACATAAAAGAGAGCGAGTACTTGGGCGAGTAGGCCGTGCGGTCAACGCTGCCGCGCGCGACTTTGCGCGCGAGGCGGCGCAGCTTGAGAACGGCGGTGGGCGAGAAGCCGCCGCCGAACGTCTCGTGGAGCAGCAGGTTGAAGTTGTTGCGCTTGACAAAGATCGCGTCGTGGTAGAAACCGCGATGCGCCTTGACGTAGCCGTGGCCGGTCTTGTGGGAGAAGGGTTGGCCGGGCTGCCCGCGCGCCTTGCAGCCCATGTTCAGGCGGCGGGCCTTCTCCTCGGTGTTGCCGAAGGCGTAGGAGTGGCCAACGGAGGCGGGTGTGCCGCCACTCGAGGCGTTGCCAACGCCCGCCGAGGAGGTCTTGAGGAGGGGCGTCCAGAGCTTGACTTCATTTACTTCATCGCATCCTCCCGGCCCAGCGTGGGGTTCTGCGAGGTCGGCCTTGTACCCCTCGTTGTACTGCCGGGTGAGCTCTGGTTTCTCCTTGTCACCGTGCACGACCGGCGCGTTGGCCGGGGCGCGCATCGCGTCCGCCCAGTCGGCGAGGACGCCGTCGTGGGGCCGCCGGTGGTGGGCCTTATTGTAAAGGTAGTCGCCGAAGAAATCGACTGGCATGCCCCGCTCGAGCGCGACCCGAAGGGTGGGAAGCGCCGCGGAGAGCCAAAGGCCGAGCTTCCGCTGGAGCTCGTCCTAGAGGCAGACGGCGTTGAGGTCGTCCTCAAGCCGCTTGAGACGCTCGTGCATGACACTCCAGCCAACGGAGGTGCAGAAGTTGAAGAGGCAGTCCGCCCCGTCGGTCGACTCGGTGATGATGCGGATGAGCTCGTAGTCGACTTGGGTCGGGCCGCCCTTGCGAGCGCGAGGCAAAGACTTTGCGAACTTGTTGAAGAACTTCCTCTTCAGCTCATACCGCGGGGCGCCCGGTTCGTCGGCGGTGACACTGGCAGGCGGGGCCCGCGCTTGCGGCGTCTTGCCGAGGTAGTTGGCGACAACCTTGGGGTCGCGGCCGTCGGCGGGCGCGGAGGGCGAGAAGGCCGCCCACGCCTTGCCGAACTCGCCCCGGTTCGCGTAGTAGTGGGCCCTCTTGACCATCTGTTCCATGGAAGGCTGCGAGGGGCCCGGCGAGTCGGCAGCGTCGCCCTGCTCCAGTGGGGTGGGCGGGACGGAGGCGGAGAGCGCCAGTTCTTTCCAGAGGGCCAGGAAGCTCCGTCGGGCGAGTGGGCGATGGTGGCGGCGCGCTCTACCATCTGGTCGGTCGTGTAGCGCGGCGAGCCGCTCGGCCGGCAGGTGACGAGGATCGTCGAGGCGACGACGAAGATGGCACCTCGGGCGCCGTCTTCGGTGCCGGGCGCGTTGGGGTTGCCGCCGAAGGCCTTCATCCCGAACTCGAGCACTGAGCGGATCTTTGCACGGTACTCCTTGCTGTCGGGGAAGTCCTGGCTCTGTAGGTGAAGACGCTCGAGACGCTGTCGCAGATGGAGAGATCGTAGTCTGCGGCGGGCGTGGTGTTGAGGTTGATCGTGTCGGCCACCCCTGAGGGGGAGTTCCAAGCGAGCGAGACGCCGGTGGCGTTGCGGAGGGCGGCAACAGCAGCAGCAGAGCACGCAGCGGCGCCCGGGACGGCGGGCGCCCACGCGAGCCGCCGGGCGCGAGTGGCAGCCGAGACGCCACGGTTGTCGGCGTGGGTCAGGTTGGCGCCCGTTGTGCCCGGCGCCGCTTGCTGCTTTGCCTTGCCCTTGGCGATGGCGTCGGTGCACTCGGCCTTCGGCGTGATCTTCTGCTTATGCGCCCGGTGCTGCGGGTCGTTATGAGACGAGAGGTGGTTGAAGAACATGCTCGTCCCGTTGCTACCCGAGCCATCCGGAAGTTTGTTGGGGATGATGAGAGGTTATTCCCACTTGCAGTCTAAGCAGTCTGTGAAGTCTTCAGACTGGGTCAGACTGGGTCAGACTGCATCAGACTGCTTCAGACTGCTCAGACTGGGGGAGCACAGTCTGACACAGTCCGCCGCAGTCTGGCGCAGTCTGGCGCAGTCTGACACGCGTCAGACTGCGTCAGACTGCATCAGACTGCTTCAGACTGCTTCAGACTGCCTAGACTGTGAATAGACTGCTTAGACTGCAAGTGGGAATAAATAACCTCTGAGGTAGGTGAGCAGCGTGCACCTCGATCCTGTACCGTGTTTGTTATGACCCCCCCCAATGAACACACCAGTGAGGGAGGGCGAGACGATCGAGGGGTCCCGTACCATGCGGAATCGACCCTATAGGGCTTTTTGTTTGTCGACTTCGTGGAAGTCTCTCGAGACGCCCCAGCCACCGCAGCCAACAAAACACTCCCGCAGCCACGCGAAGCCCCAACAGAGCGACGGCGTCGGTTGTGACAGAGCTCTCGCGCCACAATGCCGGCCTTGACCTTCTTCGCCGTCGCCGCCACCGCCATTCGCGGAGGCATAGGCGTCCGCGCTCCAGCTCTCAGTCTCCGTGCCACGCCGGCTGTGAGCATGGGAGAGGCGGACGCCTCGCTGATGGAGCTGGCGCGGCGGCGCGACTTTCAGAGCTTCGTGGCGCAGGCGCGCGACGAGCCTTCGAGCGTGCTCCAGCTCGTCAAGGATGCGGGCGTTGCGGGCGCCATCTCGTACACCGCCGTCGAGCTCACCTTCTTCGCCGTCGCGCTGCCCGTCGGGTACGTGGCGTGGCACGCGAGCACCGGCGAGTGGCTGCAACCGCTGCTGCTGCTGCGCGGCGATGATGTCGAGGGCAAGGCGCGCCTGCTGGGGCTGCTGCTCTCATACGTCGTGCTGCTGAAGACGCTCTTCCCCGTGCGGCTCGGCAGCCACCCTCCTTGCCAGCGTCACGCTCTTGGTGAGCGGCGCATCGAGAAGGAGAGCTGCGTCCATAGGCAGCACCCTCCTGCTAACGCCGTACACGCAGCGGCTCCTCGGCGGGCTCACGCTGCCCAGCGGCCGGGGCGCGGCCGCCCGCGGATCGCTCAAGGCGGAGATCCGCTCGCTGGCGGCGAGCTCGCGAGGGGGCGTGCTCCCGTTCGACGCGGCGCAGCAGCAGCGCTTCGACGCGGCGCTCGCGGAGCTGTCTGCGCTCAACCCGACGCCGGAGCCTGCTCGCTCGCCCTTGTTCTCGGGGACGTGGGAGTGCGTTCGCATGCGTAGTGTGGTGGACTCGCCTCTTCTCGGGGTTGTGGGAGGGAGTGCGTCCGTAGTAGGAGAGTGCAGTCTGCTCGCCTCTGTGGGGGTGCGTCTGTGGACGACGGAGTGCCGGGGGGAACCCAACCAATGGTTAGTGATTGAGTACCAACTGCCAAGTGCTAGGTGCGTCTGGACGACGGAGAGCGAGCTCAACTTTGCCGTCGACAAGGGCCTCCTCGGCCTGCCCTGGCGGCGCACGTACCAGACGATCGACGTGCCCAGAGGCGCGCTGACGACGCCCAGTCGCCCGCGCAGCCCTCTCTTGGACTGATTCGCAGCCCCCTCCTTTTGCCCGGAGGCACGCTCACGAACGTCATCGAGTTCGAGGAGGGCGGTTTCCTGCGCGTCGGCTCGACCATCTCCCCCGACGCCGAACGCGGCGAGCGGTTCTCCTTCTCCTTTGACTCGTGCGCGGTGCGGTGGCGCTCCCTCGAGCTGCCGCTGCCGCCGGTGGGCCGCGGCTGGGGCGAGCTGCTCTACCTCGACGACGAGTTACGCGTGCAGCGAGACGTGCGCGGCGACCTGCTCGTCGCGACGCGCGTCGGCTGAGGACCCAGCCAGATCGCAACGACTTCGGACTAGCACTCGCAGCTCAGCTCGAGTTTCGTAATTCTTTTTTAATAACGGAGTCGCTTAGGCGGCTCCGGTGGTGAGCCGGTGTGTGTGCCAGTCCGCGCCAGTCCGCGCCCTTGTCGTGCCAGTGTGCTGTGAGAGAGGCTTCGCGTAACTTGGAGCACTTGGAGTGCAGTCATCAACCGCACATCCAGGGCCGGGGAGCTAAGAAGCGCACCCAGCGGGCCGGATGATTGGCATCGGGTTGCGGGCAAGAGAGCCTTCGCCCCGGGGGCGCGTAACAATTCTTTTTTGAGGCCGCGCCGCTTTTGGCGTTGGTCGCTCGCCGAGCAAGAGCGTCTCAACCTTGGGCCGGCCGCCAGTCGACGCAAACATGCTCATGTTGACGGCCGCCGCCGTTTTCTCTACCTTGCTCACGCCAACGGTGACCAACTGCAGCGAATTCCCTTTGTGGCAAACCGACCCGCTCGTCAATGCGACGGGGCTACCCTGTGCCTGTGTCACCGAGCCATGGGAGTACTACCTCGACGACGTATATATCTCAAGCTCAGCTTGCCGTGACGCGATCTTTTCACCCGCACTTGCCGCGAACCCAGAGTGGGTCTCTGTTGCCGAAGCAGGCGAATGGTGGTCCATCTCCTCGTTGGTCGCCAGCTACTATTGCGGCACGGAGACATCGCCTCACCTTTGGCCCGGTCAGCTTCCCGACGGCGCTGTGCCGCTCAACGAGCCGGCT